GGGCTGCCTCGACGACCTTCGTGAAGACGCGAGGAGACAGGGCTAGCCTGAAAGGGAGAACCGTACACGCCTGCCCCTCGAAAGCAAACCGTAGGAACGGTCTGTGTCGAGGGAGAATGGAGACATGGAAGTAGGCGTCCTTCAGGTCGATCGCTGCAAACCAATCCTGGGGCCGCACACATTCGAAAATGCGTTTGGCGGTGAGCATCTTGAACGGCATCCTGTGAAGGGAGCGGTTCAGCACGCGCAGGTCCAGGATCGGTTGAACCCACCGGTTTTCTTCGGGACAATGAAGTACGGGCTGTAGAAGCCAGACCTCATTTCGGCTGGAGGGACAGTCCCGATCGTACCCTTCGCCAGTAGGGTAGGAACCTCTGCTCTCATGATAGGGGTATTGCCACCGACCAAAGTGGAGCGGACTCCCCTGAAGCGGGGAGGAGACCGCGCGAACTGAATCGCGTAGCCGAGCCTGATCGTCCGAGCGACCCAGCGGGACAGGTTGGGAAGCTCTAGCCAGGCTCCCAATGACTGTACCAGCGGGGTCATACGAACCACAGACTTCCCATCGGTGGTGCAGCGAGGCGGAATGACTGGCCCAGACGTGGACGGCATAGCGGCCCGGTATGGGGGCACAGTCATTGACCGCGCCCTGACAGAGGAGACCAGGGAAGGACGAACGTTCCACGGGGGTCTGCTCTGCCAGGGGGCTGGCGACAGAGGAGGATGAGAGCGGCACGGTCCGGGGACGGCGCGCACTGTCATCCGGCTCTGGGACAGAGGAGGACGAGGGGTGCACGGCCTGGGGTCGGCGCACCGTGTCGTCCTAGAACTCTGTGTGCTCAGGGATGGATGCGTTACTTCTTTCTTTAACCACATTAGGGTGCTGCCCACCCGGGGGTGAGCAGCGGGGAGTGGAGAACAAAAGATTCTCCCCCAGCCCTCCACCGGGGGAAGGAGTGGTCCTGCTACCACCTCCTGAGAAGTAACCATCGACATCCCTCTCTCCTACCATCTCTCTCCTACCATTCATTGCGAAAACACTTGAACGAGTTGCTTTTAACCAAGTATCATCCTTCCTGTCGACTTCCTGTCGACTCGGGAGTGGCTCTGCCTGAGCAGCGGGGAGTGGAGAACAAAAGATTCTCCCCCAGCCCTCCACCGGGGGAAGGAGTGGTCCTGCTACCACCTCCTGAGAAGTAACCATCGACATCACTCTCTCCTACCATCTCTCTCCTACCATTCATTGCGAAAACACTTGAACGAGTTGCTTTTAACCAAGTATCATCCTTCCTGTCTCTGAACAACCAGCTGGATGTCAACCAATCTGGCTTCAAGAAAGGACATTCAACTGAGACTGCATTGCTGTCAGTCACGGAAGCCCTGCGGATCGCAAAAGCTGCTTCCAAATCATCAGTTCTCATTCTACTGGACCTGTCTGCTGCCTTCGACACTGTGAATCATCAGATCCTCTTGTCGGCCCTCTCATCACTGGGCATCACTGGAACCTCCCTCAACTGGTTTGAGTCCTATCTCACAGGTAGGTCCTTCAAGGTCACATGGAGAGGTGAGGTATCCAAAGCACATCAACTGACCACAGGCGTTCCTCAGGGTTCAGTTCTCAGACCGCTCCTCTTCTCCATGTACACCACATCACTGGGACCCATCATACAGGCACATGGTTTCTCTTACCATTGCTATGCTGATGACACCCAGCTCTACCTCTCATTTCAACCAGATGATCCCACAGTAGCTGTACGGATCTCAAGCTGTCTGGCGGACATCTCGGCATGGATGAAGGAACATCACCTGCAGCTCAACCTGGCAAAGACTGAGCTTCTCGTCCTCCCTGCCAATCCGTCTCTACAGCACGACCTCACTATCCAGCTTGATTCATCCTCAATCACCCCATCAAGGTCGGTCAGAAATCTTGGAGTAATCTTTGATGATCAGCTGACCTTCACAGACCACATTACAAAGACAGCTCGATCATGCAGGTTTGCTATGCACAACATCAGGAAGATCAGGCCTTTCCTAACTGAGCATGCAACACAACTTCTCGTCCAGGCCCTGGTCATTTCTAGGCTTGATTACTGCAATGCTCTTCTGGCTGGACTTCCATCATGTGCAACTAAACCTCTACAAATGATCCAGAATGCTGCAGCTCGTCTTGTCTTCAACGAGCCCAAAAGGTCCCACGTCACTCCTCTGTTCATCTCTCTGCACTGGCTACCACTCGCTGCTCGCATCAAGTTCAAGACTTTGACGCTTGCTTACAGATTGACCACAGGTTCAGCTCCCTCCTACTTCCACTCACTACTACAAGTCTACATCCCTACCAGAAGCCTACGATCGGTCAATGAGCGACGGCTCGTGGTACCATCACAGCGGGGCACAAAATCACTCTCCAGAACATTCTCATTCACGGTTCCATGCTGGTGGAATAATCTCCCCACCCTCATCCGGAATGCAGAATCCCTGACAACATTCAAAAGACAACTGAAAACTCATCTCTTCCGGGAGCACTTAACATAAAAAAAAAAAAAAAAAAAAAAAAAAAAAATCCTTTCCTCTAAATCCTCGCTTGCCTGGCTTATGCTACTCCGAGCTATGTCTGAACTTTGTATTTTGAGCACTTCTTGCGTTGTTTTTGCCTCTTCACGATGACTCGCTTGGTTTAGTCCTCAGTTGTAAGTTGCTTTGGATAAAAGCGTCTGCTAAATGACTAAATGTAAATGTAAATCCCTGAGCAGCCCGTCTCATGAGCGCCGCTTGGCCCGGCGTTTAGCAGGGGGCGGGGCTGGAGAAGGCTGGGGCACCTTCCTGCGGCTTCCTCCACGACCGGGCCCGGGTGAAGGCTGCTGCTTGGGCCGGGCGGGAGGGGCGGGAGCCGCAGGAGGGCGCCCTCGGCGGCGAACAGACTGAGGCACCTGTCCGGCCGACTGGGTGGAGGCAGCAGCGGGTCGACGGGGCAGGATGTGCTTAATGGCCTCAGTCTGTTTCTGAGCAGTCGAGAACTGTTGGGCGAAGTCCTCAACTGCGCCGCCGAAGAGGCCGGCCTGGGACATGGGGGTGTCGAGCAGCCGGGACCGCTCGGCATCCTTCATGTCGGCCAGGTTCAGCCACAGATGTCTCTCCTGGACCACAGCCGTGGACATCACCAAACCCAGGGAGCGTGCGGTCACCTTCGTCGCCCGGATAGCGAGGTCGGTGGCGGCGCGCAGCTCATCAAAGAGCCCTGGGTTTATCCTACCCTCGTGCATGTCCTTGAGCATCTGGGCCTGGTAGACCTGCAGAGTGGCCATGGCATGCAGAGAAGCAGCCGCCTGTCCCGCCGCTCTGTAGGACTTCGCCACTAGTGTAGACGAAAACCTACAGGCTTTGGATGGGTGCTTAGGCTCGCCACGAGAAGAAGAACTCTGAGGACACAGTTGCATCGCAACAGAGCGTTCAACCGAGGGGAGCCCAGTGTACCCACGGGCAGCTGCCCCATCGAGGGGAGGAAAGGCGGATGAAATCAGCGAGCGGTCACGATGCCTAACCCGATGCACGCGGCCGCCCGGGAAAGCATGGCCGTCATCTCCGGATCAGACTGAGTCACAGCCGTATTCACACCCGAAGGTGGCAGCTGTGACGAGTCGTCACTTCCAGAAGATTCAGACCCACCTTGTGATGCCGCGATCGACATGCTGGCTTACATAGCATCTTCAGGGCATACATATGACATACATAGCATGTCAGATCTCGCACACACCCTGGACTGATCTCGCACACACCCTGAACTGATCTCACACACACACCCTGGACTGATCTCACACACACCCTGAACTGATCTCACACACACCCTGAACTGATCTCGCACACACCCTGAACTGATCTCGCACACACCCTGAACTGATCTCGCACACACCCTGAACTGATGTCGCACACACCCTGAACTGATCTCGCACACACCCTGAACTGATCTCGCACACACCCTGAACTGATCTCGCAACTGAAGCACAACTGAACATATGTGCTGGCTGACATAGCATCTTCCTCTGGAGCGCCAAAGGAAACCCGCGGGACATCCGAAGAGCACTCGCGGGTTGCAACACTGGAGAAGGTGCTGCGGGGCACGGACAGATAGTCGGCGCTTTGTTCCACACAGTCACCCTCAGATCACCCTGGCCACCAGCCGAAGTAGAGCCTCTCGTGGAGGCGCTAGATCGGGGTGTGGATGAGGGGACTCTCACTCTTGCGAGGTCATTGAGTCTCGATCGTAATGTTGCGATGGTCATGTTCCCACAGAGAGAACATGAGTCATCCACGAGCGCTGCTCTAGCGTGATCAATGCCCAAACACACCAGACAGCGCTCGTGCCCATCAGAGTCAGATACATACCGACCGCAACCAGAAGTGCACGGGCGAGGCATCTTTAAACAGACGTGCCGCGTGCAAGCTTTTTTGAGAAAAAAAGGAAAACTCGAGTGTTGAAGCGCCCGCGGAGAAACACACTAAATGGCAAACCATGCAAAGATTAGCAGGAAGTGAGTCCTTGCCGGGAGATCGCTGTCACAGCAACACTGGAGAGTTCGCTCGTTTCGTAAAAGCTGACGAAATTAGAGAAGGCTACAGGAACGAAGGGTAAACTTGGCTCCGAAGCGAAAACATATCTGCATTCTGCCTGACTTCCTCCTTTTATACCCACGAGGTGGGGCGGAGTTGCGTCATGCAAATTCCGCAGACCCATGGCATTTCTTTGCCATTGGCTCGTTTTGTAAGACTCGAAGTTGATAGGCTTTCTAAGCGAAACCCCCATTCGTCGTCATCCGACGGAACTCGGGGTGACAACGAAAGGGAACAAGTGTTCTTTCATAATTCTAGTTTCTCTTTATAAATGAATATCGTAGATGAATATCATTCTTTTTCAAACAGTCCTACTCTGTGCATTTGACGCGCACACACATACTTTTACTCGTTATTTTTCTAGTAACAATGAATAGACAAAGCCGAATTATTGTTCAGGATAGGCTGTTTTTCTCAGGCCGGATCACAGCTCCAATCTTTTGGAATCCTCCACAGTTACACTTCCGGCTCTATGTAGATAAGTGAGAAATGTGGTCAGTTTCACTTCATAGGCTCCCCACATGGTGATTGTAATGTTTAATTCCTCTTTAATACAGGTTTCTAATTTTAATGGCTCAATTAAATTAATCAAATTTTCTTTATTTTTCTTCTTTTTTGTTCAAAATTTTTCTCCCCGTTTCCTCTCCTGCCCCTCCTATTTGTCCATTGTTGCGACATTCTCAGTTGTTACTGACTTGCTGTTTTTTGATAACTGACTCCTCTGTCTTTTCCATGACTTTCTACCCACATATGACTGGTATGGTTGGGGTTGCTCCTCAAAACTACCACTACCACCAGTTTTTTCCAGTGTCCAATTATCTACCGGTGCTGGTCTGATTTCTCCTCCCTGTCCGACTTTAACGATTGTGTCACTTTCCCACTGTACTGGCCTTGAGCTCACTACCATATACATGTTCCTCAAAATTGTGGCTCCTCCCAAACCCAGAGGCCAAGTGTACCACGCATTTCTTTTCAGGTATGGGATATACACTCACCGGCCACTTTATTAGGTACCCCATGCTAGTAACGGGTTGGACCCCCTTTTGCCTTCAGAACTGCCTCAATTCTTCGTGGCATAGATTCAACAAGGTGCTGGAAGCATTCCTCAGGGAGTTTGGTCCATATTGACATGATGGCATCACACAGTTGCCGCAGATTTGTCGGCTGCACATCCATGATGCGAATCTCCGGTTCCACCACATCCCAAAGATGCTCTATTGGGTTGAGATCTGGTGACTGTGGAGGCCATTTTAGTACAGTGAACTCATTGTCATGTTCAAGAAACCAATTTGAAATGATTAGAGCTTTGTGACATGGTGGAAGTAGCCATCAGAGGATGGGTACATGGTGGCCATAAAGGGATGGACATGGTCAGAAACAATGCTCAGGTAGGCCGTGGCATTTAAACGATGCCCAATTGGCACTAAGGGGCCTAAAGTGTGCCAGGAAAACATCCCCCACACCATTACACCACCACCACCAGCCTGCACAGTGGTAACAAGGCATGATGGTTCCATGTTCTCATTCTGTTTACGCCAAATTCTGACTCTAACATCTGAATGTCTCAACAGAAATCGAGACTCATCAGACCAGGCAACATTTTTCCAGTCTTCAACTGTTCAATTTTGGTGAGCTCTTGCAAATTGTAGCCTCTTTTTCCTATTTGTAGTGGAGATGAGTGGTACCCGGTGGAGTCTTCTGCTGTTGTAGCCCATCCGCCTCAAGGTTGTGCTTGTTGTGGCTTCACAAATGCTTTGCTGCATACCTCGGTTGTAACGAGTGGTTATTTCAGTCACTGTTGCCCTTCTATCAGCTCGAACCAGTCTGGCCATTCTCCTCTGACATCTGGCATCAACAAGGCATTTCCGCCCACAGAACTGCCGCTCACTGGATGTTTTTTCTTTTTCGGACCATTCTCTGTAAACCCTAGAGATGGTTGTGCGTGAAAATCCCAGTAGATTAGCAGTTTCTGAAATACTCAGACCAGCCCTTCTGGCACCAACAATCATGCCACGTTCAAAGTCACTCAAATCAACTTTCTTCCCCATACTGATGCTTGGTTTGAACTGCAGGAGATTGTCTTGACCATGTCTACATGCCTAAATGCACTGAGTTGCCGCCATGTGATTGACTGCTTATAAATTAAGTGTTAACGAACAGTTGGACAGGTGTACCTAATAAAGTGGCCGGTGAGTGTATAATGGATTTAGCTTTATTTCAGATTTAGTCCGCAATGAATCCAAAAGGGTAGTTTTGGGAAGGTCAAATCTGTTTGATTGTGCTCTTAGGGCTTCAAAGGTTATCTGTCTTTTGATCGCCTTAACCCAATCCACCAAGGGCCACTCATCCTCAAGTTGATTCAGAATTCTTGTCTCCGCCCTTCATCATCTATGAATTATTTTTCAAACCAAACATGATTTTTAAGGCCTTTGGTTAGTTTTAATGCCTGTTTAAAGTCGTCTTCGTCCTCTCTTTCTCTCTACTCTCCTATCCTCTGCCTCGTAATGATCTCACTCTGGTCCACATGTGTTCTTATCTTCAGGCGTCAAAAGATTAAAAATAAAAAGCTCTCTTTCTCTGTCACTTCTCTCCCTCCTTATTTCTTTATCTCAATCCAAATACACTTAGTTTGTTAGTATATTCATTCACACACCTAGGATTTCATTCACACATACACATACACACATTCGCTTGTTATTCTTATTCTATTTTTCTTGTATCAAATGAAAAGACCAAGTTAATCAATCAAATTTTTTGTTCAATAGAGGCTGTGTTTCTTTATCTGGATCACAACCCTTTATGAGGCTCATTGTCAGGATCTTGTGTCACTGAGTTCCCGCCTTTTGCATACAATGGAGCATCGCCTGGAACTAAGTAGGCTCTCTCTCTCTCTCCTCCTGAGCGTCAGGATATGCTTCGATGAGCACACCCAAACAGACTCCCCGTAATAAAGGTCTACTAGAAGCTGTGACATTGCATAGCCTGACTGGGATCCTCTGTTCCATGTTAATCATGATGCTGCCTGAAGACACTCCATCAGCCAGGGTAACAGGCTCTAGAACAGCCGGGAGTTCTGGTTTTGGGTCGTCTACCACACCCCACACTAAACATTCACACTCTGGCGGCACAGTGACATCACTCTCTAAAATCACTCTCGAAATGGCATAGTCTTGGCCCTTGCCTTCGGATATATAGGCTGGCATGAGTTCAGAGTCCATAAAAACTTTACCAGAGGCATGTATGGTGAAATCAGCAGCTTTCGAGAAAAGAGAAGGGCATCGCGAATTGGTGCAATGCAAACTGTCCACTCCAACACCTTTGTGCCAATTCTGAATTCCACTTTCACTCCGCCTGTTGCTGACATCTCCCTTCCAGTTTCTGCATTTCGGAGACACGCATTTTTCAGTCCTGAAGGCGATTTGGCAGGTAATTTGCTGTACTGAAGAAAGTAATCTTCATGTATGTGTTCGGGTAATGAGCACAGATATCTGACAGCAGCCAGCGTCACGCCTCTCCGATGGGGGAAGGGAAACTCCGTGCAGCTCTTATTTTCGTGAGTTTATGGTCAATGCGACAACCAAACGTGGTCAATCAGTCTTTAATGCTACTTCACAACAGCGTTTGGCAGTGATTAATGTCCATCGATTCACAAAGGATGTCCCAGCAGTTCACAACACTCACATTCGCTGATGACTGTCAATCACGCTCAGCTTCTGACACCACTTGTTGTGCTTTCTCGTGTTTGGTTGGATTCAGTGTCCGTGGAGGCGTGAAGAGAAGCACACAACAAAGAGAGTCAGTTTCAGGAACTTTACTTATCAAGACACAACTTTACATCAACGGGGGTTTTATGCTCTTGCCCAGCGCTGATGGGTTTATATTCAACCATCCGCACCAGAGCCTGCGAGCATACTGACGCTAAACGTAAACAAGCAGTGAACTAATCCCTACATAATGACGTAGCCACATCTGATTGGCTAATAAGAACACATTACGTATACATGTGAAATTAATTGTAACAAACAATGTATTTACTTAACTAACACTATAACAATACCATTAGATGGACAATACAACCATTATAATGCGACATTTCACCTAACAAAATGTGATTGAAGCCTCTACTTATTGATTGAAAGGTTATTTCTGCACTGACTGCTCCACCCTGGTCGCCTACACTGCCTGCTCCGCCCTGGTCTCCTGCACTGCCTGCTCTGCCCTGGTCGCCTACACTGCCTGCTCCGCCCTGGTCTCCTGCACTGCCTGCTCTGCCCTGGTCGCCTACACTGCCTGCTCTGCCCTGGTCTCCTGCACAGCCTGCTCCGCCCTGGTCTCCTGCACTGCCTGCTCTACCCTGGTCGCCTGCACAGCCTGCTCCGCCCTTGTCTCCTGCACTGCCTGCTCTACCCTGGTCGCCTGCACAGCCTGCTCCGCCCTTGTCTCCTGCACTGCCTGCTCTGCCCTGGTCTCCTGCACAGCCTGCTCCGCCCTGGTCTCCTGCACTGCCTGCTCTACCCTGGTCGCCTGCACAGCCTGCTCCGCCCTGGTCTCCTGCACTGCCTGCTCTACCCTGGTCGCCTGCACAGCCTGCTCTGCCCTTGTCTCCTGCACTGCCTGCTCTGCCCTGGTCGCCTGCACAGCCTGCTCCGCCCTGGTCTCCTGCACTGCCTGCTCTACCCTGGTCGCCTGCACAGCCTGCTCCGCCCTGGTCGCCTGCACTGCCTGCTCTGCCCTGGTCGCCTGCACAGCCTGCTCCGCCCTGGTCTCCTGCACTGCCTGCTCTGCCCTGGTCGCCTACACTGCCTGCTCCGCCCTGGTCTCCTGCACTGCCTGCTCTGCCCTGGTCTCCTGCACAGCCTGCTCCGCCCTGGTCTCCTGCACTGCCTCCTCCGCCCTGGTCGCCTGCACAGCCTGCTCTGCCCTGGTCGCCTGCACTGCCTGCTCTACCCTGGTCGCCTGCACTGCCTGCTCCGCCCTGGTCTCCTGCACTGCCTCCTCCGCCCTGGTCTCCTGCACAGCCTGCTCCGCCCTGGTCTCCTGCACTGCCTGCTCTACCCTGGTCGCCTGCACTGCCTGCTCCGCCCTGGTCTCCTGCACTGCCTGCTCTACCCTGGTCGCCTGCACTGCCTGCTCTGCCCTGGTCTCCTGCACTGCCTGCTCCGCCCTGGTCTCCTGCACTGCCTGCTCTACCCTGGTCGCCTGCACTGCCTCCTCCGCCCTGGTCTCCTGCACTGCCTGCTCTGCCCTGGTCTCCTGCACTGCCTGCTCTGCCCTGGTCGCCTGCACTGCCTGCTCCGCCCTGGTCTCCTGCACTGCCTCCTCCGCCCTGGTCTTCTGCACTGCCTGCTCCGCCCTGGTCGCCTGCACTGCCTCCTCCGCCCTGGTCGCCTGCACAGCCTGCTCCGCCCTGGTCGCCTGCACTGCCTCCTCCGCCCTGGTCTCCTGCACAGCCTGCTCCGCCCTGGTCTCCTGCACTGCCTCCTCCGCCCTGGTCTTCTGCACTGCCTGCTCTGCCCTAGTCTCCTGCACTGCCTGCTCCGCCCTGGTCTCCTGCACTGCCTGCTCTGCCCTGGTCGCCTGCACTGCCTCCTCCGCCCTGGTCGCCTGCACTGCCTCCTCCGCCCTGGTCGCCTGCACAGCCTGCTCCGCCCTGGTCTCCTGCACTGCCTCCTCCGCCCTGGTCTCCTGCACTGCCTCCTCCGCCCTGGTCTCCTGCACTGCCTCCTCTGCCCTGGTTGCCTGCACTGCCTCCTCCGCCCTGGTCTCCTGCACTGCCTCCTCCGCCCTGGTCTCCTGCACTGCCTCCTCCGCCCTGGTCTCCTGCACTGCCTCCTCTGCCCTGGTCTACTGCACTGCCTGCTCCGCCCTGGTCTCCTGCACTGCCTGCTCTGCCCTGGTCGCCTGCACTGCCTCCTCCGCCCTGGTCGCCTGCACTGCCTCCTCCGCCCTGGTCGCCTGCACAGCCTGCTCCGCCCTGGTCTCCTGCACTGCCTCCTCCGCCCTGGTCTCCTGCACTGCCTCCTCTGCCCTGGTTGCCTGCACTGCCTCCTCCGCCCTGGTCTCCTGCACTGCCTCCTCCGCCCTGGTCTCCTGCACTGCCTCCTCCGCCCTGGTCTCCTGCACTGCCTCCTCTGCCCTGGTCTCCTGCACTGCCTGCTCTGCCCTGGTCTCCTGCACTGCCTGCTCCGCCCTGGTCTCCTGCACTGCCTCCTCTGCCCTGGTCTACTGCACTGCCTGCTCCGCCCTGGTCGCCTGCACTGCCTGCTCTGCCCTGGTCTCCTGCACTGCCTCCTCCGCCCTGGTCTCCTGCACTGCCTCCTCTGCCCTGGTCTACTGCACTGCCTGCTCCGCCCTGGTCGCCTGGACTGCCTGCTCTGCCCTGGTCTCCTGCACTGCCTCCTCCGCCCTGGTCTCCTGCACTGCCTCCTCTGCCCTGGTCTACTGCACTGCCTGCTCTGCCCTGGTCTCCTGCACTGCCTCCTCCGCCCTGGTCTCCTGCACTGCCTGCTCCGCCCTGGTCTCCTGCACTGCCTCCTCTGCCCTGGTCTACTGCACTGCCTGCTCCGCCCTGGTCGCCTGCACTGCCTGCTCCCCCCTGGTCGCCTGCACTGCCTGCTCCGCCCTGGTCGCCTGCACTGCCTCCTCTGCCCTGGTCTACTGCACTGCCTGCTCCGCCCTGGTCTCCTGCACTGCCTGCTCTGCCCTGGTCGCCTGCACTGCCTCCTCCGCCCTGGTCGCCTGCACTGCCTCCTCCGCCCTGGTCGCCTGCACAGCCTGCTCCGCCCTGGTCTCCTGCACTGCCTCCTCCGCCCTGGTCTCCTGCACTGCCTCCTCCGCCCTGGTCTCCTGCACTGCCTCCTCTGCCCTGGTTGCCTGCACTGCCTCCTCCGCCCTGGTCTCCTGCACTGCCTCCTCCGCCCTGGTCTCCTGCACTGCCTCCTCCGCCCTGGTCTCCTGCACTGCCTCCTCTGCCCTGGTCTCCTGCACTGCCTGCTCTGCCCTGGTCTCCTGCACTGCCTGCTCCGCCCTGGTCTCCTGCACTGCCTCCTCTGCCCTGGTCTACTGCACTGCCTGCTCCGCCCTGGTCGCCTGCACTGCCTGCTCTGCCCTGGTCTCCTGCACTGCCTCCTCCGCCCTGGTCTCCTGCACTGCCTCCTCTGCCCTGGTCTACTGCACTGCCTGCTCCGCCCTGGTCGCCTGCACTGCCTGCTCTGCCCTGGTCTCCTGCACTGCCTCCTCCGCCCTGGTCTCCTGCACTGCCTCCTCTGCCCTGGTCTACTGCACTGCCTGCTCTGCCCTGGTCTCCTGCACTGCCTCCTCCGCCCTGGTCTCCTGCACTGCCTCCTCCGCCCTGGTCTCCTGCACTGCCTCCTCTGCCCTGGTTGCCTGCACTGCCTGCTCTACCCTGGTCGCCTGCACTGCCTGCTCCGCCCTGGTCTCCTGCACTGCCTGCTCTACCCTGGTCGCCTGCACAGCCTGCTCCGCCCTGGTCTCCTGCACTGCCTCCTCCGCCCTGGTCTCCTGCACTGCCTCCTCTGCCCTGGTTGCCTGCACTGCCTCCTCCGCCCTGGTCTCCTGCACTGCCTCCTCTGCCCTGGTCTACTGCACTGCCTGCTCCGCCCTGGTCTCCTGCACTGCCTCCTCTGCCCTGGTCTACTGCACTGCCTGCTCCGCCCTGGTCGCCTGCACTGCCTGCTCCGCCCTGGCCTCCCATCTTGCCGCAGTCTCCAGGTCCTCTTCCGCTCCACGGGCCTGGCCCTCCATCCCGCCCCCTGGTCCGCCTCCGCTCCACCTCCCCCCTGGACAATTTTAAAGCGTCTGGAAGCCGCTCCTTTGAGGGGGGGCTATGTAACGGTCACCAGCTGGATTGCCCTTGAGAGCCACTAGAGGGCACTCCACACCAGACTATTATCACTCCCTCACAAACTACATTTCCCATAAAGGTGAATGCCTGGTAATTCTTATTAACTTTTATACCTTCTTACATCATATACAGTATATTGACTGATATAAAATTACCTATCTTCTGAATCCCACTCTATGCTGTACCTTAAAGTCATCATGAAGCGGAAGTTGAGATTGTCCTTTTTTCCTTATTGTGACGTGTACCCGAGTGAAACGGCTTCTGAAATTAGAAAACACTGCAGGGCGGGGCTTGATTTCGTCCTTCGGGAATTGATTGGACCGTTGGAGGTTGGGCGTTGCTAACAAAATGGAGGCAGATTTGAATGCCAGTTTACAGTCATCTGTGGAGGATTTACTAACCTTCACATCCGTTGTCGTTCCGACTGTGTACACCGATGGGACAGCCGTATCTGTCAAATGCAGAATTTGGACTAATCCCATTTTATATCGTACCAAATTCTTAAAACATTCTTCAGTGAAATGCCTTGCACACAGACGCGAACTCGCCGTTATTCCTCCTTCTTCGAAATGCAGGACTTCGAGCCAGCGGACACGCAGACAAGGTTGTTTAGGGATAGGAAAGAGGACGTGAGAGAAGAGAAGTCGTTTCGAGGGGGGAGGGAAGGGTAACGTATTTGATTAGACATTATAAGGGTGCATTAATTTAAAAAAAAAAATAATGAAGTGCACAGATAAATAATTTATAATAAACACTACAATATTACATATAAAAATACGAATGATTTCATGACGACTTTAAGAAAGACACAAAGAACAGTGCACTTGTTTTGTGTAAAGTTTCTGTGACCTTGGTTTTAAATTCATTGTGTTCATCCATGAAATGAAATTTGAGTTTAACGTCAAATGTTTAATGGAAACCTTGACTGTATTTCATTTAAATCCAATGCTTATTATGCTACATACCTTCAATACACAGGCCCCACATGCAGTGGCATCCTGTTGAAGTGTGTGTGGCAGTGTGTCACATGCCCGTCTAGACACATGATTAAGCCCTCTGTGTCTCATGAATGATCTAAAAGACATACTGTAAGGAGGCTTCAATGTATACTATATACATTAATTGCATTTCACACACATTCCACTTTATAATACAGCACTTGACCAATGTATTTCCGTAACAATTTTTGGCACCACTAAAATATACACAGGTTATTAGGTTAAAGAAAGCATGACAATGGAGAATAAGGGAGTAATAACTGTGTTTTAGAGAAAAGGAGAGACTCTATCTAACTATAAATTATACTTAAGTACTTTTATAAATACTGAATACATGTAGGGTACAATATAGGGAAACTATATTAGAGGAACCTTTAAACTAATTACCTTATAATGTTGTTTACAATTGTGATATGAAAACAAAACTGTTGGAGAAAGCTCTTGCTAGTTGTTCTTGGAAGAATGAAGGAGCACACAGAGCGCTGCTGCCAGTTTGAGACGATGTTTTCTTGCTGGTATTGGGCACTAATACCCCCGCACAGACCCTGCAGTGCCCAGACATAACGAGGGTTACTGACGATAACAGCCAGGCTGCAATGGCCTCTCGACTGTGGGGTAAAGTGAGTCAGTGAGCAGACTGGCCGGTGGGCTCGCTAGCTAACTCAACACCCGCAGTGTTATGGAGATTCTCACTTCCGAAAAAGTTTGAGCACATTTTCGATTCGTCATACATTTGCGTAAAAATGCCAATATTTGAAATCTACACAGTTGATTTCTCGCATCAAATGTTCTCAGAAGTGAATTTAGTGATGAGATAGCGTACGTAATTGTAGAAAAACGAATTACTGTATTGACCTGCCTCTCTTTCCTCGAATGCCGAAATGAATGCTGGGATATTTCTGCCGTCAAGTTACTAACCGATGCATCCTCGGTAACATGGGCGTGTCAAGAACACTTCCGGGATTTGTAACCGTTCTTGCCAAAATGCAAACTTGTGTATTGGGACAGTACTTGGGCAACAGAAGATGACGTTTCATAAGAACACAAGTACAGACAAGAACACAGATTGAGAAAGGCCCGTATAGGGGATGTTGTGGTTATGGAGGGCCCTCCTCAAAGCCCGAGGCAATCGCCTGCTCTGCCTACAGCTAGTGCCGGCCACAACTTGCCTGTGCATTAACTGTTAATGATGTTTAATGCATCTTTGTTTGGTGTTTCTGGAGTTAATTCAGGCTATAAAAGATAAAAGATTGCAGAGCAGCTCATAAACACCATCATCTCCTGATGAGCAGCGTCTTCAGTCTTCAGGCTGAGTCCCGGTAAGATCATGTCGTCTCATGTGGGAATTATTGTGTCCTTGTGTTTCAGCCTTTACTCAGACGTTAGCACATGTTGTTCAGCTTGCTGACTCGCTAGTGTGCTTGATTATGTGGAGAAGAAACTAAAGAAATTAAGGTGGAATTGTTTAAAGCAGGTTTGAAAGTTTTCTTAGGTTCTGCCGGATCGTTTCCATTTCAGATTCTTGATATTCATTTGATGATGATCATAAACTTCATCATCTGTCTTCCCAGGTGAAGAGGAAATGTATTTAAATTGGGCTTTTTTTGGACATACTTAATATATTTAAATTATACTGTATTAAATGTATTATTGTGAAACAACTTTTCAAGATATGCTTCAGATCAATGTTAAGGCGAGACACGGCAGGCAAAAACATCGTGTTTTTTTCACTGGTCAATTTTGAGATTTTGGGATATTTGTCTTCAGTAACATGTCTTCTTTCAGACTTTTGCTGACAAAAAGTCCAAAATACACATTTAAGTCTTTATTTTACTACACTTTGTCTGTTTGCGTGTCTAAATTTCGCCTAAAATCATCAAAAGTTGTCGCTGTAAATCCTCCGCTGCTCCGTGATCGCTGTCTTTTATTTATTTTTATGTTTATTACAAACTCTCGTGGAGACAACAGCAAAAAAACAGGCAAGGCATCAACAAAATACAGATTGACAATGAAAAAAAAAATAAAAAAAAAATAAAGGCATTGTTCTCAAATAAATAATATGTGTTATAGGATCAAAAACATTTCAGCAGCATAACAAATAACTACCGTTTGTTTAGAATTTTTACAAGGTTCAAGGAGGATAATAACATACAAAATTAATTTTTAAAACAGTTTACATTTGGCAATTGTTTTTTCCATTTATTTTTGTGAATGTGGTATTTACCCATAATGATGATAAGGTTAATCAAAAGTCAAAAGGTAGCGCCGTCCTGAGGGCATTAGACAGAATTCCTGACTAAGAACATGGTCCGGGTGACTCATGACCCGTCTGGCCTTCCGGAGCACACGTTTCTTCCAGAGGGAGCTCAGGTCAATAAGCTGAACTCCAATAATCTTGGAGCAGATTTTAACAATGCTGCCGAGACTATTCTTGTCCCTCACAGACAATCTATCAAACCAGCAGACAAAAGAAAATGCTAAAAGGCTTTCAATAAATGAATAGGAAAAGTTATATAAGATCCTCTGAGATACATTGAATGAGTTTAGCTTCCGCATCAAGTGGATTCTTTGTTGTCCACGCTTAATGATTGACTCTGTGTTTTTGTCAAATTTAAGACTCTCGTTCATGTTCGAAAGATATTTTACTGAAACCTGAGAGATTCACATCCCTCCGATGAACGATTCACAAATCTGTTCACGTTTCAAAGAGTGAATCGCAGAAAGCTTCACCTAACCCAAATGGGTCGCGTGGTTTCCTCCTAGTCCTCTAAAGAGACACGATCGCTCTATATAATTTAACATTTACATTTATACTTAATCACTCAAATTCAAACAAATTACACATAAAATATCCTTTAAGTAAGAGCAACATGAGTGTGTTTTCTGTAACTAAAACTTCACTACAAGTATGTTTGTGTTTAGCATATTTCTTAAATGTGTAACTATGCATATATTTATTACCAATGTAGTGCACTTTTTTAGAAATATATTCAAATGCACTTCAAACAAGCAAGTTGGGAATACAAACACACTACTTGAATTTCAAGTATATTTTAATAATTTAATACTTCGTGTTTTTCACCGTCTTTAGTTTGATGTTGATTATGATTCCAGGTTAGATCATGAGATCTTCTCATCCGTGAGTTTATATTGTTGACTATCTTTGTATTTCAGCCTCTGGTGTCACTGTGATCATTTGCACTGAAACTAGTTTCCCTTAAAGGGATTCTCCACTCAAAAATGAAAATTCAGTCATCATTTACTCACCCTCAAGTTGTTGCAAACCTGTGTGAGTTTCTTTCTTCTGCTGAACACAGAGGAAGATATTTTGAAGAACGAGTGGAACCAAACAGTGTTTGGCACCATTGACTTCCATAGTAGAAAAAAAAATACTACTTGAACAGTATTGAAATGATGACAGAATTTTCATTTTTATTTGAATTAACATGGTGTGTGATTTCAGTCAGTCAGCAACACAGATTTACATTTCTGAAAGAAAACAGGCTTGCAGAAGAACCAATATTTTAGAGAGATCACAGTATTTGTGCTTTCTCTCGCAATCATTCATGGGTTTCTTATTCTACTGAGGATATGAATAAACTCTGAGTGAACTTTAAAAATGAAAGCATCAGATATAAAGTTGAGTTTATAAGTTTATTTGTTAGTGAATTGTGTGTTTAAGGTAATTACAGTTTCACACGTTGGGTCAAATAGTGTGTGTGTAATCTCCGGCATTTCCTCCATTAGATCAACAAGCTTTAAGATGTGTGTTTCTCCAGTGTGTGCAGTGAATGAAGAGCTCTTTAAACACGGCAGTGGAAACTTGTGAAACATCTGTCAGTCTGTGTGTTATTCCACACACTTCTGCTTTGACCTGCAGACCAAACACACAATCCTGTCAGTAACGTAAGTTCTTCAACATTTATTCCTACTTTAATAAACCATTGTACACTTGCAGCTGTGCTGGACTGAATATGCAGAACAACAGCATTCTTGCTTCTGTGATATTGTTCAAATGGAGGATTTACAGACTTTAATCTTACATTTCACGTATTTCAAGCTTTCTAACATTACACACACTCCTCTAAAGCAGTGGTTCTCAAACTTTTTAGCCAGCAACCCTTAAACTAACATCGACGAGAACTACCTACCACAGCATACACAAACAAAAACAAACAAAAAACGTTGTTATAAATCCACATCCACTTCCTATGGATGCTTGTTTCCACCACAGAAAAAAAGAAAAGAAAAGGTAATTGCCACTTTAAATCATGCAATTCTGACTTTATAACTCGCACTGCAAGTTTATATTGCACAATTATGAGAAAACAAGTCAGAATAGCGAGATGTAAACTCGCAATTTTTAGATAAGAAATCGCAATTACCTTTTCTTTTCAAATGTTTTCTTAAGTGGCAGAAACAAGCTTCCATAACTTCCACTATATTTACTGTATATAAATTAAGGCTTACAGTATAGCGTTCAGTGGGATGGGTGCACTTGTTATTCGGTGCACAAAAGCTTAATCTGTGATACTCGCAGATCATCCTCAACATCAAGACGTGATCTGTATTTATTTTTCATGTATGTAACAGTGGAAAAAGTCTGCTCGCACAAATACGTAGATCCAAACGGAAGCGGTACATCCACTGCCACACTGAAATGCACTTTCTGTAAAGCTGCTTTGAAACAATATCAATGTATTATTAAAAAAGTGCTATACAAATAAATTTGAATTGAATTGAACACCGGATAACTCTCCGTATTCTTCTACTACTGCGATCCAAAATTCAGGCAGTGTGGAACTGGAAAATAAAGTTCCCTTTCGAGAACGTCCACTTCGTATTGCGTATCCATCTCATTTGTATTCTGATGACATTGAACATATTGTTAATACATTTTGTACATTGTATAGTTGTATGTCATAAAAAAATTTAATCTCTGTATGTTTTGCACAAATAAATAAATAAACAAATAAAGTATAATTTTAAGCTGTAAGCACCAGCACGTATAGATTTATGGATATCTGCCAGCACGACCCAACCGGGTTCGTCACTTATTTGGTTCCCCTGGAAACATTTTCGTTGTGGTCTGTGTTATTTGCAGCGCGTTTCTGTATTTGTGTTGTGAGATTTTGCAGCGCGTTTCTGTATTTGGTGGTGTTGTGAAACTGATGAAGATGTTTTCTTAATTTGCGGGTGTTTTTTTTATTTGCACGCGTTTTTTTCTATTTGCATGCGTTTTATTTTATTTGCATGCGTTTTTTTCTATTTGCATGCGTTTTATTTTATTTGCATGCGTTTTTTTCTATTTGCATGCGTTTTATTTTATTTGCATGTGTTTTTTTCTATTTGCATGTGTTTTCTTCAGTTGCAGCGCGTTGAGCTCTCTCGGCCACCGTACATTTCACAACCCACACACAAACAACTACAAATGAATAGGCCTGGTGCTAATTATTAATGTGTGCACAACTACCTATCTATTTGACAAATTCACAAATGTGTGTCGCTACATTTAAACTAATACAATACAACTTGTGTGTGCAAAATCCAGAATCACATGAATGTGAAGCATTTTGTACAAATAGAGACATAGTTGTTAATACAAAACCTCAATTTTGTATTAATGTAGGCCAGAATTTGTGCATGCAACAAGTAAGATGTGCATTTGTGGATCAGCTGACACGCGTGCATTCATTGACTCGTTTCTGAGTCGATCCTATTTGATTTATTTGGATTTTGAGACTTTCATTTCGCCCGTTTCGCCTTGTGTAATCCACACACAGCTGTCTGAGAAAAGCTGCTACCACTAGATGGCAGTATTCTGCTAAAACAGACAACGGCAGCACCAAATTTAGTACACAATATAGTCCTACCTTATTAATAAAGTATACTTTATAGAGGCAGTCATATCTTAGACGAGTCACGAAATATTATTTAACATTTTTTTTTAAACCTTCTAATCACTTCTGTCTTTAGAAATCAGAAAATATTTAGTTGTAATCTTATTTTTTTAGTATTGAAAAATATTTATTGTAATCATGAAATACAGACATTTTTCAAACCAACTCGCGACCCCTTGAAATCATTCCCCCCAGTTTGAGAACCACTCCTCTAAAGAACATGTGAAGCAAACTGAGGAAACTTTATTTCAACAATCACACAGAAAACGTCTCGGGTTACGACTGAGATGGGAACGAAACGCTGCGTCGAAAATCGACACTATGGGGAACGCCTTCAGCGTGACGCGTCTGAAGCCTGTATGGAACTAGTCCAATCTTGATTGGTGCTGCGTGATGACGTCACTCGTGACGCCGCATGTGACGGTGAACCGGAAAATATAAAAGGACACCGCCAGCATAATAGCGCCAGCTTTCAATTGGTCGAAGCAAGTCGTTCTCAGGAGCGCGAAGAAGTGACCGAGGGATGCAGCGTTTCGTTCCCTTCTCAGGGAACGAGGGTTACAGTCGTAACCCGAGATGTTCCCTTTCGAGGGAACTTCCGCTGCGTCAAAAATCGACACTATGGGGAACGAATGCCCACTGCACCACTCTGAGAGAAACGCCCTGGTATGAAATCTGGCATACGCAAGACGAGAGAACTTGTGATCCCGGTGTAGAGGGCAGATCCAGACTGTAATGTTTTATGAAGGTGTGAGGGGAGGCCCAGCCTGCGGCATCACAGACCTCTTGAGGAGAAACTCCTGACAGTAGAGCCTTAGAGGAAGCCACTCCTCTAGTTGAGTGGGCTTTCACCAGAAGAGGCGAAGGCAAACTGCGTGCCTCGTAAGCTGAAGATATAGCCTCTACTATCCATCTACTGATAGTCTGTTTAGAAACAGGAGAACCCTTTTTAATTGACCCAAAGCACACAAGAAGTTGGTCTGACTTTCTCCAGCCCAAGGTCCTTTGAGTATAGACCTCCAGGGCTCGGACCGGGCACAATAAATGTTGCTTAGCTTGCTCATCCGACACATGCGGTGGAGGATGAAACGCCAGAAGAATTATAGACCGTGCCACATTGACGGCACTTTAGGCACATAGCCAGGTCTAGGGTGGAGAATGGCCTTTACCTGGCCAGGAGCGAACTCGAGACAAGAGGGAGCAACCGATAAAGCCTGCAGGTCCCCAACTCTCTTGAGGGACGTAATTGCAAGCAGGAAGGCTACCTTAAAGGACATAAATTTCTCAGACACCTCATCCAAGGGCTCGAAGGGGGCCAGGGATAACCCCTCGAGGACCACTGTCAGGTCCCAAGAGGGAACTCTGGAATGGACGACAGGCCTCATCCTCCTTGCTCCACAAAGGAAACGAACAATAAGTGGGTGTCTCCCCAAGGTGCCCACCCCTAGAGGTGTGTGGAAGGCAGCTATGGCCACCACATAGACCTTAAGCGTGGACGGGAGAGCCCGTCAGAGAAGCGACTCTGGAGGAACGCCAGCACTGAAGCAACCGGGCAGTTAACTGGGTCCAACTGAAGTTCTCTGCACCATATGTTAAAAACATTCCATTTTAGTGAATAAAGTTTCCTTAGTGGAGGGGGCTCTAGAGTTTAAAATGGTCTCCACAACCTCAGATGAGAGACCAGTATTTATGAGCTGGTCCCCCTCAGGTGCCAGACCCACAACTTCCACAACTCCGGCTGAGGGTGAAATATCGTGCCCTCGGCCTGAGAAAGAAGGTCCCTCCTGATCGGGATTTGCCAAGGAGGGCCTGCTAGAAGAACCATGATGTCCGAAAACCATACTCGGGCCGGCCAGTACGGGGCTACTAGGAGTAAGCTGATCCCGTACCGCCGGACTCTCTCTAGAACCCCTGGGAGCAGAGCGATAGGGGGAAACGCATACAGACGTAGCCTCGGCCACGTCTGTACCATGGTATCCAGCCCCAGGGGAGCTGGATGCGATAGGGAGAACCAGAGTGGGCAGTGAGTGTTCTCTTGAGTGGCAAATAGATCCACTTCGGCCTGTCCAAACTCCTTCCATATTAACTCCACCGACTCTGGGTGGAGTCTCCAATCCCCGGGCCTCAGCCCCTGCCTCGACAGAATATCTGCTCCCACATTGCTGCTTCCAGGGATAAACATAGCCTTGACTGACAGAAGTTTGCCCTGGGCCCACAGGAGGACCTGGTGCGCCAATCTGCATAGAGGGTGCGATCTCAGGCCCCCCTGCCGATTTAAATAGGAGACCACTGACGTATTGTCTGTTCGCACCAGAACATGATGGCCTCTGAGGTCCGGAGGAAAGTGCTTGAGAGCCAGAATTACCGCCAACATCTCCAGGCAGTTGATGTGCCAAGATAGATGGTTGTCCTTCCAAGGCCCCCTGGTGTAGCGGCCTTCCATAACCGCACCCCAGCCTGTTAGGGAAGCATCCAAGGTCACAATCTTTCGCTGACAAGGTGCCCCCAACACAGGACCTAGGGAGAGAAACCAAGGTTTCTTCCACATTATCAAGGAATGAAGGCATCTGCACGTTACCTTGATAATGCGAAAAGGGTTCCCCCTCGGGGAAAACCCCTTGGTGTTGAGCCACCACTGTAAGGCTCTCATGTGCAGCAGGCCAAAAGGAATTACGTTGGACGCTACCGCCAGGAGACCCAGCACTCTCTGAAAATGCTTGACAGTGATGGTTTGGCCCAGCCTGAAACTCCTTATTGTGGTCAAGATGGTATTTACACGAGCAGGAGACAACTGTGCCCGCATCGTAAGTGAGTCCCAAACTACTCCCAGGAAAATAGTCCTTTGCAGAGGAGTCAATGAACTCTTTTTGACATTGAGTCTCAGTCCCAAGCACCTTAGATGGTGCAGAACAACATCTCGATGTTGAACTGCCAATACCTCCGACTCTGCTAGAATTAGCCAGTCGTCGATGTAATTGAGGATGCGAATGCCTTGAAGTCTGAGAGGAGCAAGAGCAGCATCCATACATTTGGTGAAGGTGCGTGGTGACAGTGCTAGACCGGGAAGAACCTTGTATTGGTAAGCCTTTCCCCCGAAAGCAAACCTTAGAAACTTCCTGTGCTGCGGAAGGATGGAAATATGGAAATACGCATCCTTTAGGTCTATCGTTACAAACCAGTCCTCGGACCTGATTTGACTTACGATAATAGGTATGGTCAACATTTTGAACCTGTATCTCCTCAGAGACCGGTTCAATACCCTGAGATCTAAAATGGGACGTAAACCCCCATCCTTCTTGGGAACTATGAAGTACCGGCTGTAGAACCCGGTATCCTGCTCTTGAGGAGGAACATACTCTATGGCCTCCTTTGCTAAGAGGGACTGGACATCCTGTTCCATGACCTGACCCTGCTCGGAGCTGACCAGTGTGTGCACGACCCCTCTGAATCTTGGCGGGCGATATTCAAACTGGATTCTGTAGCCCTTCTCTATTATATGCAGGACCCACTGAGATATATTTTGAATATATATATATTCAACTCGACCGGGGCCACCAATATTACGGGTGGACACTGCGATCTGCGTTCGCTGGAAACCGATGCGTCCCGAAGCGGCTTTGGCGGCGGGAAGCATACATCGATTTCCTAAGGGCTCCGCGAAGGAGCGAGTTGTTGACACTCGATCGCGGGGGGGAACGCCCTCAGAGGCCTGCGCAACACGTCAGGACCTCTTCGTCGAAGCCTTCCTCGCCTGAATAACGGTCCTCAGATCCGTTTTCAGCAGGGAAGACTTCGGTTGATAGTGTTGCCTCTGGCTCCAAGCCTTCTTCGGGAGAGCACGAGAAGCAACACTCTCTCTTTGTTGTTGCATATGGGAGGAGCTGGCGACCGCCTCGTGGGACTGCCCCCTGGCAGCAGACCCACGAGACTTGGGACGACGGCGGGGGATTAGCTGTTTTAATGCAGCTGATTGTCGTTTCGTCTCCTGAAACCTCTCGACGACAGTATCGACTGCGTCGCCGAAGAGGCCAGAAGACGAAATCGGGGCGTCGAGGAGGAAGGCCCTGTCCCTGTCCCCGACGCCCGACAAATTCAGCCACAAATGCCTCTTCGTTGCTACCAAGGCTGCCATAGAACGGCCGATTGCACGGGCCGTCTCCTTGGTAGCACGGAGAGACAAGTCAACCGCACGACGCATCTCTTGGATATCGTCGCGGGCGATTTATATTGGGGCTGGAAAGTCGAGAGGAGAAGGGCTTATCCCACGATCTCGACGGTGTGGAGATCGTGGAAAAATGGAAGACTCCGGCGTGAAGGCTGTGACTGGGTTTGCAGGAAGCGCTCATTGAGTTTACTTTTTACTGTCGCTTCCTGCACTTCTAGTGGCCAACTGATGTTTAGTTTGGCCACAGCCTCCAGCAGCTAGTCACAACCTCCAGCAGCTCCTCAGATGCAGGAGAATGGGGTGGCAGATCCCCACATTCCCCTGCACCGATGCTCAAATCATCCACCTCCTCAGAGGCAGACATTTCGAGCATCTGGTCCTCATCATGGGCGGGAGATGCCGCTGGGCGGGACCATGGGAACTGGTTTATGAATGTTGGCGAAAGGGTCTCAGCCGTCTCAACATTCCCAACCAGATCCCTTTGCGATCCCCAGGAATGCAGGCTCCGCGCTGCCTCGGCAGACGCGGGACCCGATCCCTGGGGGACGCATGCCTGTCCTGACTCACTGAACAGGCACAGACGGGAACGGAGCGTTCTCATGGGCATCAGATCACAGTTTGCACAGACAGCACCCTCGAGTGCTGCCTGTGCATGCTCCATTCCCAAACAAACAACACAGAGCGAGTGTGTGTCATCCTCGCTCAAAAAGCGTGGACAAGGGGACGCACAGTGTCTGAGCTGCTTCTTTGCTGCCATATCTCACAATATACAATCACAAACAACACCAAATAAGACACACGGTCACATAGAATGCTTGCTGAAGATCAGAAAGCTGGCGCTATTATGCTGCCGATGTCCTTTAATAGTTTCCTGTTCACAGTCACATGCGGCGTCACGAGTGACGTCATCACGCAGCACCAATCAAGATTGGACTAGTTCCATACAGGCCCCAGACGCGTCACGCTGAAGGCGTTCCCCATAGTGTCGATTTTCGACGCAGCGGAAGTTCCCTCGAAAGGGAACACATTATGTCATATATTTTTCCCTGTGGTTTTTAATAAAGAAGTAAATAGTACATTAATTACTTTATTTTTATTTTTAACTAATGACTGGTTTGTTATTTAGTGCCTGTCAAGATTCCATGAAACAATGGCAAAACTAAACGCCAGCATCAACGGATCAAGTGGAGGAGATTATGAAGATGAATGGAGTCAGATGTGGAAATTTCGCTGGAAACTTGTTTTTGCAGAACCAATAATTATCAGCATCATTTCAGCCGTTGAGATTGTAATCATGATCGTAACTCTGTTTGCGTTGTGTGCTCTTATCAAATCTCAGCGCTCCACTCCAGTGTTTGTTATTCATTTGATTCTGTCAGATCTCATTCAGATCATTAGTAAATTAGCATGGACAATCACATGGTCAGGTAAGCTGGAAATGGCATATTATTATAGTTTGATTGCGGGTCTGTATTTTATGGCATGTGTTGCTCTTGAACGATATCTTCTGGTTTCTCATCCTATCTGGTACAGAACTCATCATTCACTGAAAGTCTGCTGTGTTATTTCTGTGATCGTCTGGTTTCTTCCTCTGATCTTTGTAGACTTTTACTCCTATGGGCTGTTTAGAGATCTGTCTCGATCGATCGGCTGTTTAATCCCCTACCCGATAATCATTCTGTGTTTTATTGGCACTTGTCGCGGTCTTTCACACGCAATATCTCTTACTTCTGTAAAGCGCAAAAAGATTTTGGGCAGTTTGTTCCTGGTGCTTCTGACTTACACTTTTCTCATTCTCCCCTACATAATCCTGACCTTTATTATAGATTATAGAGGTTATAGAGGTTACAGTTACAAGTCCAACAGCAGTGAATTGCTCTATATATTTAGGGATTTGTCTGAATATCTCCTGTTCCTGAACCCGCTGGCTGACTGTGTCCTGTACATGTTCATCAGGCCTGATGTCGGAGGGTTAATGAAGTCTGTTCACTGCTGTTGTAGAACTGACACACATCAGGATTCGACACACAGCCGGGACGAACACTCTCGAGACAGTAGTGCAGCGTTTGCCTGCTGTGTTTCAGTGCTAAAGCCTGCGTCTCATTCACGGACCCCCTGCACTTCAGTGTAAACATCTGCACTCCATACATGAAGTCAATGCCATTCTGTTCACTCACACACCCTTCCTTTCTGTGGCATTTAGCTTTATTAGAGACAACTCTTGCTTCATCAAACTCTAAACTCAATTGCTCTGTTTGCGGCCCATAAACACATGCGGTGAACAGAGTTTTATTAAAGATGTGTTGATGTAGTGTTGATGCTTCTGCTGGCGTTCTGGATCATCAGGACTTTATCATACGATGGAGAGGAGGGGTGTATAAAGCACGGTTTATTCTCACTTCATTCCCCCGATAGACTGACAGATCAACAACATCAAGTAGTTTCAGCTCGTAGTCTTGCTTGTGTTCCTAATGCATGGACATTATACTCTTTTTACCTAATAACTACTATTCACGCTGTTACAAAGATAGTCCACTCAATGCTATTATATTCATAGCTTTTCTTCAGCTTTATCGCCATTGGCTTTTGGCTTGCTTAGTTGGGGATATTTAATTTTATATTTAACACTATTATTACAACATTATTTTCCTGTTATCTCTGTAAAGCTGCTTGTCAACAATCTGTATTGTAAAACCGCTATATAAATAAAGGTGACTTAGTGACTATTATTCACAGCACTGGAATAGTGTTAGTTTAACTTCTATGTTTCTCCTCGTTTGTAAATCTCTTTGGATTAAAGCGTCTGCTAAATGATTAAATGTAAATGTATTGCATGCATTGAAAATGAAATGTGAAGATGTACATATGCTCTCATGTCGATCAAAAGCTGAATAACTTTCTTTCTTCTGTGGAACATAAAAGACAATATTTAGAGATTTATTTGTCCATACATTAGAAGTCAGTGGACAGTTTCGGGTGAACTATCCCTAAAAACACTTGATTTAAAGTGCAGAAAGTATATCAGAAGAGATCTAAGTTTATATTAAATATTAACCAGAGCTTGCATGGAAATCAGAAGAGAGTTATTAGTAATATTGTTGTGTGTTTATAGAAGTGTTTCATGTGTCACATAATGTCACGGTGTGGAGCAGGCAGAAGAAGACAAAAGGCAAGAGATCCAATGCTAATACTTTTACTAATAAATAAACTTCAGGCAGGTACAAGCAGGCAGTATAACTCACGCAACATACGAATAAACAAAGACGCGTAACATGTACAACGACCGACAAGGACAGACTGAACAGAAGCAAACTAAATACAAGCATGAATCAAACATAACAAGGTGAAAACAGGTGACACTGATGATGATAACGAGGGACAGGCTGGTAAGTGAGGGAGTGAATACAGGTGTGGAGACGAGGAGGATTCTGGGAAGTGTAGTGCAGACACAAAGACAGACTGGTGCAGACGAGGACTGTGACATTACTCCCCCCTCCCGGTAGGCGTGACCTCACGCCGTAGAACAGGGGTGGGAGGGTGGGCATTCTGGAGTCTGTGACGGGAAGGCGGACCGGGTGCAGCTGGACAGACTCCAGGATGGTCCAGGCGGCCATGGCGGAGCAGGACGTGGGCGTGACCATGGCGGAGTAGGATGTGGGCGTGACCATGGCGGAGCAGGACGTGGGTGTGGCCAGGGCGGAGCAGGACGTGGGCGTGGCCAGGGCGGAGCAGGACGTGGGCGTGGCCAGGGCGGAGCTGTCGGACCCTCGGGCGTCCAGGGCGGTGGAGACCCTTCGGGTGGCCATGGTGGTGAAGACCCTTCGGGCGACCCTGGCAGTGCAGACCCTTCAGGTGGCCATGGTGGTGAAGACCCTTCGGGTGGCCAAGGCGGGGAGGACCCTTCGGGCGGCCACGGCGGCGAGGACCCCTCGGGCGGCCACGGCGGTGCAGACCCTTCGGGTGGCCACGGCAGTGAAGACCCTTCGGGCGGCCACGGCGGTGAAGACCCTTCAGGTGGCCACGGTGGTGATAATTTTTCTGGTGGCCGTGGACCCTTGGCCGGCCACGGCGAGGACCTATGGCCCCCCCCCAAAAAATTATTGGGGAGCGTGACGGAGTCTGACAATGACTCCAGAATAGAGTCGGGGACAGGCTCTGGAACAGTCTCTGGCTGGGCAGACAGGACTTGAACAGTCTCTGGCTGGGCAGACGGGACGTCAACAGTCTCTGGCTGGGCAAGCGTTGAGGGCTCTTTGCTGGACGGGACCAGTGGCGAAGGTTTTGAGCTGGGCAGGACCAGCGTTGAAGAGGGCTTTGAGCTGGGTAGGACCAGCGTTGAAGAGGGTTTTGAGCTGGGTGGAACCAGCGGTGAAGTGGGCTTTGAACTGGGCGGAAACAGCGGTGAAGAGAGCTCTGAGCTGGGCAGGACCAGCGACGAAAAGGGCTCTGAGCTGGACAGGACCAGCGGCGAAGACGGCTCTGGGCTGGACAGGGCCAGCGGCGAAGAGGGCTCTGGGCTGGACAGGGCCAGCGGCGAAGAGGGCTCTGGGCTGGACAGGGCCAGCGGCGAAGAGGGCTCTGGGCTGGACAGGGCCAGCGGCGAAGAGGGCTCTGGGCTGGACAGGGCCAGCGGCGAAGAGGGCTCTGGGCTGGACAGGGCCAGCGGCGAAGAGGGCTCTGGGCTGGACAGGGCCAGCGGCGAAGAGGGCTCTGGGCTGGACAGGGCCAGCGGCGAAGAGGGCTCTGGGCTGGACAGGGCCAGCGGCGAAGAGGGCTCTGGGCTGGACAGGACCAGCGGCGAAGAGGGCTCTGGGCTGGACAGGACCAGCGGCGAAGAGGACTTTGAGCTGGACAGGACCAGCAGCGAAGAGGGCTTTGAGCTATGGGTATATGAGCTATACTGGGACCAGCCACCGGGGGGCGATCGAGACTCTGGGTTTATGAGCTATACTGGGACCAGGCACCGGGGGGCGATCGAGACTCTGGGTTTAGGAGCTATACTGGGACCAGCCACCGGGGGGCGATCGAGACTCTGGGTTTATGAGCTATACTGGGACCAGCCACCGGGGGGCGATCGAAACTCGGGGTATATGAGCTATACTGGGACCAGCCGCCGGGGGGCGATCGAGACTCAGGGTATATGAGCTATACTGAGACCAGCCACCGGGGGGCGATCGAGACTCTGGGTTTATGAGCTATACTGGGACCAGCCACCGGGGGGCGATCGAGACTCTTGGTTTATGAGCTATACTGGGACCAGCCGCCGGGGGGCGATCGAGACTCAGGGTTTATTAGCTATACTGGGGCCGCCGGGGGGCGATCGAGACTCAGGATATATGAGCTATACTGGGACCAGCCGCCGGGGGGCGATCGAGACTCAGGGTTTATGAGCTATACTGGGACCAGCCGCCGGGGGGCGATCGAGACTCTGGGGTTATGAGCTATACTGGTGAAGGGTTGGGGTCAGAATCCCTTGCCTCTTCAATTTAACTATATGTATATCCTTTTTTATGATTACATTATTACTATAATAAGCACTAATCAAGTTATATAATCATTCCTATACGCAATAAATGATTCACATATAGTTTTTATTCATACTTCTGTTGAATGCACCTCTTTCCTGAATGTTGGTTGAATGCCTATCTTTCATGAATGTCTTATGATGTCTGGGACTAATCTTCTGTGGCCCTGAGCAAGAACATTAAATACAGGCTTTTTGTCCGTATGTATACTAATGAGTGTGTTAAACTTAAAGAAAACCCTCATCATATGATCATGTTTCTCTGCTGACCCTATTAATGGGCAGGGGTCAATTTCTGTATGATTCTATGATTTGTTTTACTTCTTTCATACATATATCTCTCAAGAAGTAAAGTAATTGTTATTTCTTCTCTCTGTGGATGGAAGGTTTTATCAGTATGTTGCAGGTCTCATGACATGGGGTGGCTGGTCTCATGACGCTTTTCGATGGGCCCTCCGAGGTCATTACTGGATCTTCGTGACTTGGATGACAGCTATCTTGATTGATGTCAACGTACCCTTCTATCTATGTGTAATTGTTTAGGCTTTATGTCTTCTGAGCCAATCAGAAGTGAATGTTTATGTAATGTATGCCCTTGAAAACAGTATAACTGGTGTACGATTTTCATGTAAGGTAGAGTTAGCTTGCGACCTCCTCGTGAGACTTTGACGCTGACTCTGCCAATTAAACT